TGCACGAGTGTGTGTGTGTGTGTCTCTGTGTCTGTGTCTGTGTCTGTGTCTGTGTCTGTGTCTGTGTCTGTGTCTGTGTCTGTGTCTGTGTCTGTCTGTGTCTGTCTGTCTCTGTCTGTGTGTTTGCGTGCGTGCGAGGTTGTTTTCACTCAGTTTATGCATTGTTGGCAAGGTTTCCGTGGTGCTCCTGGTAAAAGACTGCAATAAGAGAACAACCCAATTCTGAATTCCCGTTTGCAGGGGCAAGTCCTTTTCAGGGTGGGTGGGGGTAATTAGGGGCATTGGGATTTCAAACCAGCAGAGCACAACTCCGCAATCGGAGTTGCACAAAACCAGTCCTAACTCTAAACCCTAAACACCCCCCCCCCCTTCCCCCCCTCGCCCCGGAAACCACCCACACACACACACACACACACACACACTCTGCAAAGCCTGTGGTACCACACCAGCTCGTGCAGCATACCACCGTGCATTTCGCTGACGGCCACGCCCGTGGTGAGGTTTCCTTAGGCAGGCTTTGTGTAATTATGTTGTTCGGGTTCATGGTTCAGGCTCTTGTTCAGGCTCTTGGGGTGAAGCGATGTGGGTTGGCTTGGTCGTCCATGTAAATTCCCAAACCTCAACACAAAAATTTCAACCGCCTGAATGAAAGCTTCAAGAAGGCACCGCCAGCATTGTTCGACCCTAAACCCCTAAACCTCATCAGTTTGGACCCAAAGGCCCCAAAGTGCTTCGGGAGTGTAGGCTAGCAAAGGTCTCAACTTGAAGCGTTTTGCGTTTACCCATAGGCTCCATTGTAGCTACTGTTTCGCGGCTTATACTTAGGATCCTATAAGGTAATCCCCAAAAAGGGAGAGCCTATGGGTAGTCAGCTGTCGTATTCAAAAACCCGAGAAATCCTAGATAACCGCAGCAGCATGCACTCCTGCTTTCTGCTGCTGCCCTAAACCCTAAACCCTAAACCCTGGCGAGCTTCTCTTGTCTAGTATGTACCCAACCTCCTTCATGTACTTCCGAGGAAGGTCGTCCGAGAGCCTGGGATCCAGGGTACTATAGGGGCCTTCATAATTTGAATAGGGTTTTGGGGCCCAATATACTATATAGTTATACTAAGGAGCCCCCAAAATAGTTTCGGTAATTATTGAGGCCCCAATATTAGGGTGTCCGCTGTTGGCCTACTGGGGGTAGTCAGATGCCTTCCTCCTGAGGATTTTGCTAAAACAAGGCATCTCGATGATTGCAAATTCAGAATTCACGTTGGGCCGTCGGGCGATGAACCCGGAAACCTAAACCTCAGCGGCAACTCCGGAAACCCTACACCTGCCTGGTAAATATGAAACGACCTTGTAAACATGCACTAAGCCTGTGGCCTCAGCCGAGGCACCGGTGAAACTCCCTCTGCGCCTCGAAGGTGGATGGCTCTCCTCGAAATGGCAGCACATCGCATAAACACGCGGATGTCAGATGTCGTCTTTGAGGGGTGCTAAAGTGAATGGTTTGTCTTCTGTGGGTGTGTGCTCACTGATGTACTTTGTTAGAACCACCGGTTTAGCCAGGAGTTGAAGGGTTTAAGTGTTCGGGGTGGCGCTGGGGGGCTTGAAAGCCGGCTTTTTACTGGTTGCAGCATGCCCAAAGCATCAACTCGAAACTCTATACCCGAGCCCCAAATCCCGATTTCTACACTCTCGAAACCCTCATAAACCCGAAAGTCTGGTTATGCATACTCGAAGCCGGAAACCCGTAGACTCCGTAGACCCTATGTCCCCTAACGGAACCGTACATTGAAAATAAGCAAGGACCCCATATTAAGCATTCCAAGCACCAGGGAAGGTCCAAGCGTCGGCAACAAGGTTCCCGCTGCAGGTCCTGCGGTCGATCCGTGGTTTAGAGTTTGGGGCTTCCAGCCTTTGGCAATGTATATTATGCAGCTCACGCTTTGCAGGTTAAGGATTTAAGGCCTATGGGGCTTACAGGCCAGGCTTGGAGGGCTCAGGGCATCGAATCCTTAAGGGACCATGCTCAAAAGCAGCATTGCACCTCGTAGATCGGCATGGCCAATTCCACCTGTCAACGCGCCGGGAGTGTCAAAGGGGGTTTCGGGTCACCAGGAGTGGTACTGAACAAAGGGCTCGAGGGTTTAGGGTTTAGGGTTTAAGGGTTTTGGGTTTATAGGTCTTCAGCTCATGTGCATCAAGTCGGGGCCGAAGCACCGGCAAAACCATATCAACAAGCCCTACAAATCTGTCTGCCGTCAGACTCTACATCCTGAATCCTAACACCCGAAGCCACGGACTTCTCGAATCTGTCCAAACTTCGGAAGATTTTATCAGCAACTCCCAACAATGTAGCCCGAAACCCTGCCCAAACCATGGATACAACACGCTACAGCACCCTTAACCCTAAGTCCCAATGTAGCGGCCTTAATAATTCGAACAGGGTTTTGGGCTCCCTTATAGTATGCCTATAATAGGGGCCCCAAGGGAAGACTATTGGTAATTCATTATTTGGGCTTCTGTACTGAACCCAACAGCACCCCGAAATGGAGCCTTGCCGGCAGCTTGCAGGAGCCGAGCGCGCATGAACTGCCTCTGCAGGCGCTGGTGCGGTGCTTTTTAAAGGTTTAGGGTTCAGGGCTTCAGGGCAATAGAGGGGCCTTAATAAATTCGACTAGGGTTTTGGGGTAATCAAATTATACTTTACTTATAATAAGGAGCCCCCCAAAATAGTATTGGTAATTGATTTAACCCCCCTGTGTTTTTAGGGTGCAGGGTTTTTGGGCTGTAGGGTTTGGGGTTAGGGTTTTGGTGTGCAGGAAGAGGGCAACACAACGCTCGCCGTGGACTGTGGAGCTGGAATTCAGGAGCTGTAAACCTCGTGACCCGAAACCCGGAGCAACCTTACCTCAAAAGCCTTGTAGTAGTAATAGTATTAACAGTAGTAGTAAAAGTACGAGTAGCATTAATAGCAATAATAATACGGCAAGTAAACAGATAACTTTCGCAGAAAAAGCTAACTTTAGCGGCACCATCGCAGAACTTTCGCGAAGGCATATTTAGCTATGCAGTTGTCGTTTCATATACGTAAATTATGCCACAACTAACTGTAGATCAACTACCACATATGTGAATATATATATATATATATTATCATGTATACCATACATATATATATATACATGTGTGTGTATACATATATATACACACACACATATATATATCTATATATATATATAGATACATACATACATACATACATACATACATACATATACATATAGATTGCATACATACACGTATATTTGCATCATACATTTGGTACCATATTGTCTAACCCAGCATCCTAAACCTGTGGCGTACACCACAATGCCAACCAAGGCACACGTGCGGCAGGTCAGACCATCCGTTCTGTAGCGCCTTCTCATACAGGGCCTGCAGCAGCCATTTAGGGTTGAGGTTTAGGGTTTATAGGGCTTACACCATAAAGCCGAAGCCTTCAACCCTCAACACCGCACATGGCGCAGTTTTGCTCTCAATGAGATCATGAAAATCCGAGAAAAGGTTCAGCAGGAACTCCGGCATAGACAAAAACACCACGCCCTCAGTGTCGGGGTTCGGGCTTGGGGTTTCTGCAACACCGTCGAGCCTAAACCAGCACGCCCTAAGTCGAAACCCTAAAGCCTAGCAATGTCGTCAGCTGAAGTGCCACGAGCCTAAGGAGCATTTCATCCCTTCTTTACTCCAACTTTCCGGGACTCCCAACTGTTGAAACCTCGGGATCAACTAAATTGAAGAGGCACTCCTTAACATTTCCGAGAACGTTCCTTAGGGACGGACCCCAAAAGTCAAGATTGCACAGTTTCGGGCCCGTGAATGGTTCGTCGTCTTCGGACAGCCCAAAAGAGGTACTTGTGCCTGGAACATTGACCACTGGGTTTGGAATCTGATGTGAATAGGCTGAAGATACAAGATGTAAGAATGTAAGGACTCAACTTAAACTGAAGATACGAAGCGCTAGGCTGCTAGACGGCATGCTGTCTCCAGAAAACCCAAAGCCCAGCAACCCCTTGGAGAAGATCGGAAGGGCGCCCGGAACTGCAGCTTCTGCGAACCTAGGCCTAATCTGAAAACACCCAGGCGAACTCTGGATGCACTTTGGGTGAAATTCTTGCCGGCCCTGC